CACGTCAATGACTCAGCATACCTATCTTGCATTCTACGAACTATTCGGTGGCGTAATTAATCAGCTAGCATTAACTACGTCACATCAATATTGTGCTCATACGTCGCAACCTGACGTAATCGCTTAACTCAGGGGTTATTTTTGTAACGACGTGCGGTTAGGCTTAACCAAAGCCCGTTCGTTACACCGTTGTATGGGAGTCAAGAGTCGGTAGATTTGCAAAGAGTCGTACGGCGCAGTCATCAAGCTTCAACCGAGCACCGAGGTTCGAGTAACGAGCATAGTACATTTTGAACCGTCGATACTATGCCAAGGTGTGCCATCGGCGGTCAGTTTACTGACGGATTGTGACCGACGGCAGCCGACTCAGCGTCCGGCGTTCCGGGACACGGAACGCCCACTTTAAAGGGAAGTGGATTGTCGACTCGGGCAGCACCAAGCTAGCATCATGGCATGTCATAGTAGTTTGGGCCGACCCAACTTCACAAGATGTAGAGGGCTGTGCTTAACAAATGAATCATGGGGATTTGTCATTGAGTGAGTCTCCGATTGCAGTGGTGATTGGTAGAGGCGACATTTTGTGCGGCGTGAGTCTAGTAAGCTCAAAGGAGGTCCGGCACGCTCAAAGGGCACAGGCGGGTTTTTCTGCTTTGACGAGAGCAACCGACATGAGAGCACGAGCAGTGTATGCGTGAGAATTGCGCAAATTTAAAAGGACGGCTTGATTCGTACGAAGGCAGTAGATCGTGGGATACTGTAAGACTTAAGACCTTAGGGAGGGAGAAAGCGTTTCTTGCGTAGGTCCAGTCAAGGAGGGCTGCGTGAGCGCCACGGAAAAGACGCCAGTATTTAACAGCAGAAAACTTGGTAAAGAAGACGATGAAGGTCGTGAAGATTGACCTAGATGACAGGAATCAGAAGGGGATCTTCTTTCGGACAAAGGAGGACCCACGCACACGTTCAAAAGTGGTAGAAAACGGGGCAATTGTTGAGCTGAAGCGCAACAGAGACGCGCCTCTCCGCACAACTGGAAATATCAATTGTTGTTCTTCATACGTTAGCTTAACAAGTGCACTGTCTTTCTTCGATGCTTGCTGTACCGGATTATTCTTACTCGACCCGCCGCTATCAACATCCTGAATATTTGCGAGGCTAGCAAGCATTTATTGGTCCCGCGCGATCAATGATCGAGCGACTTTAGCAAGCTCTGGAGAATTCGAGTGTTTCATCAAGGTTGGTTGCTTGTTGAGGTGCATTCGATAGAAACGAGTTGTAGCGTTGGTAGGGTATATTGAGAACAGTTTGTAAAAGAAGCTGCGCATATAGTATGCTTACATGAAACTTCAAGCAAAGCTTGCCAGGGAGACACACTAAAACACTCGCATGTATGTATACACCATCTATTAAGCCTATGATGGCTACAGCGCGTGGCTACAGTGGCTACGAAACATGACAAGTGTGTTACCGTACGGCCAAGTACGTGGTACAGTAGTATGTCACCATATCAAACGTACGTGCATCACGTACTATAAAGTACATACCCCGTCTCAGTTTTTCAAGCATGCAATTAGTCATGATGATCTTCGCAACCGTTGAACATGATATGAAAGCTTCTGCTCATGCACTAGTCGGACGTGTCGCCCGTTGTGTGATTTCGATCTTGCGATTGTATTCCAGTGGAATGAGTGATGAATACATGTGAAATTTTGCTCCACATCAAGGGCGTGAAAGGTCTGAACCTAAATGATGCCAATGATTATGATTTCTCATGGTATATTGTAATCATCATGCCCTTCATTCGAGAGCGCGCTATTTCATATTGAAGCATGGAAGACGGAATTCAAGTGTTTTCGACTTGTTCTTCGGACAGAATCATTCTTGCTATATTTAGTGGGGACCGCAAGTGGTGAGAATGCTTTGGGCTCTGCCACTCGTATTGCATGCCGACGCAAAGTACGATGTACTGCCTACAAAACATGGCTGCTATCGATCGAAGCTGATTGTCGAGGATTCATGGACGATCAACAATTGACATAATGTAGTCCGTACATACATAATCGATCGAAGCTTTCATGACCAAGATGGGGCGTACGTGGAGCACATGTGCAGTCATTAAAAATAAGGTCCGCTTGCCGCATCCGTTTTCAATTGGCTGCCCGCTCACTGCAGGCGCTGCCGCAAGTAACATCTACGATTGGATATTCAATAGCACATGGCCCGCTTAAAGCACCTCACATCAATTCATACATTAACTTGGATGCATGTAATGTAATGCAAGTTATTCATCCTTTGTGTTCTAACGTCAGCAACTCCTTTTGGACGCCAAACATGACGTCGGAATGGCTGACTCCTGACTTCGTTAGCTGGCATGAAACATCGCTCGTAATGCAATCAGGGGTGAGCGTGCATTTTGTGCGGCTTTCTGTGCTAACTACCGGGAGGTGCCCCAGTGTTGCTGCTGCTCGAGGCTGTCCGTTTGCCCAAGGCCGCTATGGACAATGATAGACAGAAGCGCCAGCAGCTACTGTACTAGTTCCCAGCTTCGAGAATGTGGTGAGAGCTCTACTCATCATCTACACACCAAGGATCGCACCTTGTCCTTATGGCTCCCCGAGTCAATCAGGTGTTGCCATGCACTCGGCCATCCGCCGTCGATCTTCTCCCCAGCCACAAGTTCGGCTGCTGCCGCTGTGCGCCCCTGCCTCGCATCTTCCCGTGAGCCCTCTGCCCCACCCGGCCTGGCGCACATTACCCACCCTGGGTGCACGCACGCCACGCCTGCTCCGCTGCCTGTTCCCCCCCTCTGCTCGTCCCGCCGCTGCGGCCCCGCGCGGTGAAGTCACAGGTTGCTGGCCTTGAAGACGTTGAAGCCGTCGGCGGCGGTGCTGACGAGGAGCCCCGGGACTTGCGGGTGCCAGTGCAGCTCCTTCAGGTCGTGCTGCCCCTGCGCACACACACCGCATCGCACGCGCCACGTCAGCACTGCCCCGCAGAGGCGGCTGCTGCTCCCCGCAACCCAACACGCCCACCCGGGGGGCGGCCTGCCCGGGGAGCGCGCACGGCGGCGGAAGGGATGCTGCGCTGCCCGCATGGTGGGACATGCACAGCGGGAGAAGAACGCGAACACGGCGGCGCTGCCGGCCGCAAGCTCTGGGATGCAAAGCTGGAGCCTGCGCGGACTCTGATTGGGCAAGGAACAGTGCAGACAACCTGGCGGCTGGTCATTGCTATTGAGATATAAGACGGCCGCTTGCGAGGCCTGGTAGGATAAGCTCGCAAGGGTAGGTGGAGCAGGATCCCCATATCTTTGAAGTACACCAGAGCAAGGCCTTTGTCAACCGCCGCCCCTGTTTCGACGGAGAAGCAGACCTCCGCACCACACATCCGCTGGCCTAAGTCGACCGTGGGCGCTCAGGCAGCCTCAAGAACGGCGACAGAAGCGGCAGGAAGCACCGGCAGACCGGCGGCTCTGTCGCGCCGCGGCGCTGACCTGGTGCACGAAGAGCAGCTGCGCGGGCAGGTCGGGCGGCGCCTCCGCCTGCGGCTGCGCCTGCGCGGCCGCCCAGTGCCGCTCCTCCTCCGCGTCCGCCTCCAGCGACAGGTCCCACAGCCTGCACCGCACCGCCGCCACGGGCAGCCTCAGGCCAGCAGCGCAGAGGAACGTCATGACAAGCAGCGCAGAGCAACGTCGTGACAAGCAGCGCAGAGCAACGTCGTGACAAGCAGCGCAGCACGAGGGGCACGGGAGTCAACAACCGAGGCCACAGCAAACGGCAAGAAGGGGCGGCGCTGACGTGAGCTGGTTGTCGGCGGCGGCGACGGCGAGGGCGGAGCTGTCGTGGGCGCTCCACTCGAGGGACGTGATGGGCGCGCCGTGGTACTTAAAGTGCGCCACGAATGCGTCCTCCTGCACGCGCACCGCACGGCAGGTCAAAGGGTGCACGTGTCACCAGGCACGACTGACTCCAGGCAGGACAGCGCTTGGGCCCGGTTTCTTCAAGGCACAGACGAGATGTGCGATTTTCCCATCCACCCGGCCGGAGGCAGCAGAGAGGGCACACTCCCCGCCCCGCCCGTCTCTCCTGCCGTCCGCACAGCACTCGGGGCAGCACTCGTCCCGAGAGGCCCGCCTGCTGACCTGGAAGGCGCGCAGGTCCCAGATGCGGAACGTGCCGTCGTCGGCGCCTGAGGCGAGCATGCACGACGCCAGGCGGTTCCACGACAGCACGTTGACGTCGGCGGCATGCGCCGGCACGCTCAGCGCGGGGCGGTCTGGCTGGCGGGTGTCCCACACGGCAATGCGCTTGTCGCAGCTGGCGCTGGCAAACACGCCGGCCTCGCCCGGCGACCACTGCAGGTCCTCCACGCTGCTCGAGTGGCCGCGGAAAGGCGCACCGCCCACAGCCCAGCCTCCGCCCTCGCGCGGCTCCCACACGTGGATCTGGCCAGCGCAGTCACCTGCACGCACGCGGGCGGAGACGAGCAAGGTCAGAGGGTCTGGTGCAAAGAGGGAGGGCGGCCTTGTGCGCCAGCGGGGTTGCAAAAGGGCGTCATCGAAGCTTCAGTGACGGTCGGGTGCGGATGCGCCATAAGCAGGAACGTTAGTGGGCACGCCAGGACACTCTCACAGCAGAGTGGGCGACGTGCCTGGCACGAGGTCGGCGCTCAGCCGTCTGACTGACTCCTGGGCAACGACTTGCAACCGGCGGGACAGCACACTCGTGCAAGCGACACGAAGTGGGATTGCTGACAGCAACAAGGGAGAAGGTGGAAGTAGTCGCAGGGTTGAGACGCCCAAGAGAGAGGACCTGCAGATGCGATAGGTGAGAAGTTGGGTGGGCGGTGCATGCCAGAGCCGCGGTCGCCGCCGAGCGGGCTGTCCCGCGGCAGGGCCCGTGGGGAGCCAGGGGCAGCGCTCACCTGTGGCGAGCCGTGCGGGCGTGACGGGGCTCCAGTCCATTGCAAAGCCCTCGGTGGCGTGGCCGCTGAAGACGTGAAGCGGGGCCTGGCGCACCACGGGGCTGGCCGCAGTGGCGGCGGTGGCGGGCAGGGCAGCCAGCTCGCGCAGCTGCGGGGACACGTCCCACACCTGCACGCAGCGCCACAGCAAACAGCATGCGCTCAGGCAGCCAGGGCAACTGGGGAGGGGGGCAGCGAGAGGGGCCAGGGGCAGGCGGGCAGGCAGGCAGCAGGGGCAGCTGCGGCACAACGGCGAGGGGGGATAGGGGGACGAAGGGGGGGCACCTGCACGTGGCCGGTCTCGCCCCAGGTGGCGGCGATGTGCGGCTGCTGCGGCATGGCGCGCACGCGGTTGACGCCGCCGTGGTGGGCCACCATGCGCACCTGCAGCAGTGAGAGAGTGGAGCAGGCGGAGGGGAGGGGCAGCCAAGGGGGGTGCAGAGACACGGGTGCCCCAGGACGAGCCAGCGTGCGGCCGTATGAAGGTGGGAAGGCCAGCCAAGTCAGTGTCCCTTACTTGTCACAACGCTCACTCAATGCTATTAGTACCGTTCAGGAGTCAACACTTGCTAACGGAGTAATCGAACCCAAAGGCACATTGACACACCAGCAGTACTTGGCCAGACGTTCTCTGTACGCCCAGGCACATTGCAAATCGAACTTGCAGGGGGCCCACCAAGCAACATGCAACGCAGCCTTTCAACAGCAGATCAAAGACGTGCTTGAGTCACGGAGACGTTCTCCAGTGATCCGCGAGGGGCTCCCCCCTGCCTTCTTGCCCGCATTCCCCACCTGCAGCACAGGCGCCGCTGCCCCCCCCGCCTCCTCCTCGTCGCTGCTGCTCCCCTCGTCCTCGTCGTCCTCATCGTCCCCGCCCCGCGGCCGCCGCATGCGCGTCAGGTTGCCCAGCTTCATCACCGCCAGGCTGTTGCCGCCTGCGCTGCCCGCCTGCACACACGCCCCACCCGTCTCACACCCCATGCCCCACCGGGACACCACCGGCTGCCCAAGACACTGCCAGCAATGCCTGGCCGGGTGCAGATTGTGCAGGAGCCATGCAGCCCCAGAGTGAGCAGAGCCCGCGGGCGGCCGTGGCGCTTACCTGAGTGCCCGCCACTCCGTAGAGGGTGTGGGGGAAGGCACTCCGCTGCTCCCCCAGCGAGTCGCGCACCACGTCAAAGCTGCACAAAGCACCGCGGCGCCCCGTCAGCTTGCTGCGCTGCCGCCAGCAGCGGCGCCCACCGCAGCCCCAGCAGTGCAGCCAGGGCAGGAAAAGAGGCAGGGGGCACTCCTGAGCAGCTGCGGAAAACTCAGTGATAGGGCGGGCCGGCTGAGAGGGCCGCACCTGAGGCAGGGCCACTCGAGGGCGAGCGCGTGCAGGCAGTCGTACGCAGTGGGGTCGAACTGGAGCTCCTCATCGCCCGCCATGTCGTCCACCCCCGCGCGCCACACCTGCACCCGCACACCCAGTCACCCCACCGTGCGCACCACCCCCACCATCGCATAGCGCACGCAGCGGCAGGCAGGCAGGCAAGGGCGCGCCACAGCCCAGAGGGCCACAACGGCGCAGCCTCACCTTGGGGCGCTCCGCCGGGGCCGCCCCCGAGGGAGCTGCCCCTCCCTCCATGTCAACATCTCCCGCTGCTGCTGCCCCGCTGCTGCTGGCGCCGCCGTCGCCAGGCGCGGCCTGCACAGAAGAGAATCCTCACAACGACGCACACCCAAGAGCGCAGGGGCCAGAGGCATGCAGGCGGAGCGGCACACGCATGCGGTGGCAAGCCATGCACGGGCACCATTACCAATGCAACACCGGGGGCGGCGCAGGAGCAGACCAGCGACCAGCGGCGTCTGCCGTCAGCTGGCCAGCCAGTGGCTCACCCGCTTCTTCTTGCCTTTCTTCTGTGGATTGCGCGGCATTGCTGCCCCCGCAAACAGAGCCCACGTAGAGGTACGACTGGGAGCAGGAGCTGCTCTGCAACGCCAGGACCGCCACCCCACAGCCGCGATCACTGATCAGGACCTACCTAGCTAGGATGCAATGGCAGTACGGTAATTTGATACGCACCCACCATGATGGGTACGGGCTTATGAGAAGAGAACATACGCACCCACCACCACCACCACAGCCTCAGGTGCCAATGCCAGTTGGTGTACAATGTACATTTGTGGAGGCCCTTCCAAGTTTCCGGACGGGTTTGAAGATTACCGTAGGAGACTGCGCCTTTGACACTGCCTGGTCAATGCAACTGAATCGTGACCGAGCGGGAAAGTAGTGCCAGTGCCGCAAGTGACCATCGCGGCGTTTCCTTTATGCATGCCGGTTTTAAGTGACTTGTTGCAGTTGACCCAGAACTGAACACTGAGCTCAACTCTCTCACTGTCAGCATTGCGCCGCATGCGTTTCGCCTTTCTGGTCTTCCGCATGCTGGCCGGTGCCTCTCTCGGTGCAGCGCAGCGCTAGCCTGCCCTGGTCGCGTGGGCATTTGGTTGTGACGGCTGAGGGCATGGGGTCGGTAGCCGCTGCGCTGCAGTGAGGCCATGCCTGGCCCCGCTGCCACGGGCTGCCAGCAGGGCCGTCTCCTCTGGCAGGCCCCGCACGCTGGTGCGACGGCGGCGGCGTTCACACAGAGGCCAACTGGGCCCCCTCCGCATTGGCGGCAGAGTGACGCGCAATTGGCGGCCACGTGCCCCCCCGGCCAGCCCCATTGGCTGGGAGCAGGCGCGGCGCGCGCGCTGGAGGGGCCAGGGGCCCCCTTGCCTGTTCTGGCGGACGGCGCGCAGGCTGGCCTCCCATGGCCGCGCAGTGGCACGCAGCCGTGTGCTCCGCAGCGGCGCGCCCGCGGGCAGGCAGTGAGGGCACGGGCGTCCCGGGTGGGCGGGGCAAGCGGGGTGGGGCAGGGGGTGCGGCAGAGCAGGAGGACCACGGAGCAGCGCACGCGGCGGACACACCCAGCGGAGGGGCAGGAGCAGGCAGAGCCAGCGGCAGCAGAGGAGGGGGAGCGCGCAAGCGGGGCACAGCAGGAAGGGGCACCATGGGGGGGGCAGCAGGGAGGCACAGCGGGGAAGGAACACAAGGTGGGTCTGCCGCGGGGAGAGTGGGGCCCAACTGTGAAGGCCAGGAGATTTGGCATGTACGGAGGGCTGGGGGAGGGGGCTGGAGGAGGATTCCGGCTGCAGTGTGATGCTCGCTGGATATTCTCTGCACTCCAAGCATTGCTGTGTGGCATACATTGGTACCAAATGTGCCCTGCTGCAACACCTTGGCCGTGCTGATGTCACCAGCGTGTCCACCTGTCCCCTGCTCCTGTGTCCCCCCACCCTCTCTTGTCCTGCAGCCATGCAGCGCGGGCCAACCAGCGCTGGCAGCGGGTGGGCCCTTGTCTGAGGTCAGAGGGGCCCTGCCGCCCGCCGATGCTGGCCAAGACGCAGCGGAGAGCCCCTCTGCGGCTGGCATGGGTGGGAGCGGGGTGGGGGTGCTGGCAGCAGAGCACTCTGCGGGGCCTGGGGGGCCTGCCCACATGGCTGACCCGTCTGCCGGGCCCGAGCAGGGGACACCGGAAGTGGGCCTGGGGAGCGCGCGCGGCGGCGTGCTGCGCGGGCGGCGGGCCATGGCAGCAGTGGAGGTGCGCACGGGGGACCCCCCCTGGGTGGCGCTGGCGCACAACGCGTACGTGTCCCTGCTGCAGCTGCCGGGGCCGCAGTTCGCGCTCGCGGCCTTCCTGGCGCCCCTTGCGCTGAGCGCCGCCTTCTCCGCGGCCTACCTGCTGCACCCCGACGGCCTCACCCTCAACGGCACCGGCCTGCGCCAGCGCCAGCTGCAGCTGCAGGCACACCACGCGCACATGCGCCCCAGCGCAACCCCAGCGGGGGCGGCAGGGGCCACCGCTCCCTCGCTAAAAGGGGAAGCGGCTGCTGCAGAGACCCCCATGGGCCAGGGGCCCGCGGAAGCGGGAAGCGCCACCAGCGAGGCGGCAGAGTGGGAGGCGGGCGGTGCGCTGGGCGTGGGCGGGGCTGGCGCACTGGTGTTCCGCGTGCTCATGTTCAGCGTGGCGCTCTCCACGGGGCTGCAGCCCGAAGTGGTGCCCGCCACGCCCGCCGCTGCCGTGCTGGCCAACCTGAACGCGCTGCTCGCGCAGCTGCTCTTCGTCTTCCTCAGTGGCGCCGTGTTTGCGCGCCTCTCCCAGCCCGCGCGCCCCATCCGCCCCGCCACAGTCGCCGTCGTCACGCCCCCCACCCGCGATGCAGGCACGCCCCACCCCTGCAGGCAAGCCCCGCGCCCAGCCACTGGGCCGCGCCCCCTGCCCTGCTGCCCCATGCCTCAGAGCGCGGCCCCTGTATGAAGAGTTCGCTGGAGCCCCGACATTCTGCTGGGCAGCCTGCCTCGCTGGTGTGCGTGGCACTTCTGAGGGTTCCTTCTCTTGTGCGGTGTCCTCGTGCAGGCTGCTGATGGCGCGCTTCGTGCTGGCGGGCGCGCCGAAGCAAAGGTGGGACGTTGCCCCTTGATGGCTTCAAAAGAATATCGAAGATTTCCTTAAATATACCTAATTGCTTACGAGTTTCTCGAAGCCTTTGTACGACCTTCTTGCGGCATTGAAACCGTTGGGAGTCTACTTTGGTTTACCCACTTGAAACGCTTGCAAATAGTTGGTCTCTCAAATTAAGAATGTTTTGTGTCTATTTGATCTTTGTGATACTTGGCGACTTCATGATTGAAAGGGCCGAAATTGTTGTTTTTACACGTAAACATTCTGCCACTTGCAGGTAAGGCCTTCTCAAACTGCGTTCGATCGACCACATCGCGGACCGTCGAGGCATGTTCGCAGGCACGGTGGCTGCGCTGCCTGGCGCGCGCTGAGACCCTCGCCGCATCGTCCTGCCGCAGGTGCGAGCTGATCGACGCCAAGCTGGACTTCACGCTGGGCATCGACACGCGCGATGCGGCCGGCCACCACTTCCGCGCACAGAAGCCCCTCAAGCTGGTAAGACGCGATCCCTCTCACCAGCATTACCCTGCCCTGCCTCTCCAGAAGCTGCCGCCTCCCTCGCCAGGCCAGGCCGTACTGTGCAGTGCCACGTGCTGCGATCAGGGCAAGCCCCGACGCTGACTCGCCGACCGCGTGTGCGCGCGCGGGCAGATGCGCGCGGAGGTGGCGCACCTGCAGTTCGGCTTCAACGTGCGCCACGTGGTGGACGAGGCGTCCCCCCTGGCGCACCTGTCGCCGCGCCAGCTGCAGCAGCAGGACGCCTGCCTCACGCTCAGCGTGGTGAGCCGCCGCCCCGCCCCGCCGCTGGCCCACCCTGCTTGCTGGCCAGTACTGCCGTTGCGGCGCATGGCTGCCCGGCATTCTCTCCGGCCTTCTCGCGGTTCTGCACTGAGGCGCGGTCGTAAATGTTGCCCGATGCAGGTGGGCGTGGAGCGCGCCTCCCTGCAAACGGTCTTCCACTCGCAGCAGGTGAGGCACGCCGGGGGACCTTCTCGCCCTCGGGCTGTCCGACCTCACTCTCCATGCGTAGCACATGCGGTATACGCTGCCGGGGGTGGATGGCCGTGCATCCAGCAATTGGTCCATGTGCTGGCCTTTCGCCTAGACACACTTCTGGTATAGTGCACAACGGGCTTCGACAGTGCATCAAGCTCAGGGTGGTGCTAGTATCAGCTGGTGACACCGTTTACGTAATCAATGCGTTCGTACTCTTTTCGTGCACTGCGTGTATTGATTGCAATTTACGTGTGCTTTTGTCGTGTTGCCTTTCTGCAGTACTTCTTTGCGGATGACGAAGTAGTTTGGGATGCTGAATACGAGGACATCATACTGCAAAACAGCGACGGTGTTAAGATTTGCGACCACACCAAATTGAACTCTTTCCGAACCATACATTAACAACCAATTGATCAGAGATCCTCACGAGCCACGCTTGTAACACGAGCCGAAGTGACTGTGTCAAAAGGAAATTGTTGCTTCGAAGCGAGATGTGATCCCGATTATACGCCATCCGCTTGTGTCATAGCGATACATTGCACAAGGTCACTAGAAGCGCAATCTTTGGAGTTTAGCGACCCATCATGCATGACATTTTGTAATTCATATTGAGCGAGGGGGCCTAATTATAGTTGAATCCTTCTAGCGAAGTTTAGGTCACGATCGCACGAAGCGCAACCAAGCGATGATCTCTTGTCAGATATGCCGTAGCCAAACGCTATGATAGGCCATAGGCTTCTCATGGCATAATGTTTAGCGATCATAGCTTAACTATGTGATTGCGATCCTGATTGCGGATTATCCTAGCTAGCTTTGTAAGAAATAAATCCACACGAACTTCCAAAGACGGTAGGGGCAGGCTAATTGTGCACAATCGCTCTGAGGTCTATTATAAATCTGTCCATTTTGCAGTCTACGAAGCTAGAAACACACGCACACCAAGAAAGTCGGCAAGTCGATTTGATATTGCTTTGCAGGAGTCGTCCTTTTGATCGCGATCGATACGAATGGCAGAGCCGGAAGCATTCTTACCACTTAAGCGGTCCCCAAGATAGCAAGAATGTTTCTGTCTGAGACTCTTCGAGTCAGACACTTGTTCCGTCTTCCATGCTTCAATATGATATAGCTCCGACTCAGATAAAGGGCATGGTGATCATGTACTTTGAGAATCCCCTGAGAATCATGAATGATCCACATGCCATTGAAGCAGAAACAGACGCTGTCATGCTAGCTTAAAGCGGCGTCCAAATCAATAAAAGGTCCTACTAATTGACTACACTGTAGTTAGTTTGAGTCCCGTTTGAGTCCTTTTTAACTTGCATATCAAAGCTCTACTATGGCCAAGTCCCTAGAAACGTGTTCTGCGACTCCCACAAGCTTTGCCCAATCATTGAATCGAAAGGTGACTCCAGCTGGTTGCGTTCTCCAATTTGTCTTGCGCATGCTATGAGTGCAACAAGCATATGCATGCCTCGAGGTAACTCAGATTCACGAGCGCGGTCGCCTCTGAAGTTCGACTAAACGAGCTAGTCACCCTTCTGTTATGCTGCCAATGTAACATGGGGTATAGCTATTGTGTTTGGGAGAACCTTAAGCAATTGCAACAGAATCTATAGCTGAACCGGCCCGGCTTCATCTTGATGTTCTCTTTTACACGCCGTAGCCACATGGGCCATAGGCCATGATCGATTCCTTTCATTTGAGTCATTAAGGTTACCGCCGGGGGCCCGGGGCGGGCATCGTATTCTATTTAACTTGATGTAGAAGATGTCGGCCCTTAAAATCATCATATACATGGGCCCGAAGAACGAGGCTGGATCCAAAGTAACTGGTACACTGAACTCACTCTCTTTGTTTGCGAACATATGCACAGCAGGATTAAATAACGTGACACAACTAGAGCATGACAGTTCGAAGGAGGAGCGTGCTAGTTGATCTGGCACGTTGATGTTAGTATTGGTAATTTGATGCATGATGCATACTGACAATCATTGACTGGGTTCTCGTTGACACATAAATGTGACTCGAAGCGAGCCTCGCTTTTTGTTTGGCGCCGACTCATGATCAGGGAACCACTGATTCTTCTTTGCTTTCGACCAGGAAAGATCTACATATTCTGATAGCTGGCTGAACTATCAGACTTTCGCTTCATGGCGCAGTGTCAGCACTGGGTAGGAGCTCAGCCCCGATCAAAGACTGCAATCACATGTTACCAGTGGGGGCAAGTGTGCAAGTACGCAATCAATCAGATTTTGACCTTGTGTAAAACCAAACATGAATGTATTATGAATCTATTTTATCTTGCATATTCTCAGATCCACCATGCAGCTACTAGCTTTAACTGGAAGCGTACATGGCAAGAGCAGTAGAACCTTGGGTGATCTAATGACCTAGGGACCAATAAACATCTTACATGAAGAGAATGTCAACTCCTCTTGCTTCGCCATCCCTGCCTACCCAATGAATTGAGGTTTGACCAAATTATAACAAGGCCATAAGATCCCGTGTATCTCTTACATAGAAGACGACTTTTAAACCAGGCTCATGCCAAAGCTCGACTACAACGTTCTGCCCCGACCATGCATACAACGGTCACCTTGGACCGAGGAACCTTCAACGGGCATACACAACATCAATCAGGTCCGATGCAACCACACCAGCAACTTCGCTGTCTTGTCCAACAGCCCCAAGTGGGAAAGATGGCCTAGTCCGAGCTGTCAAAGCGCGCCCCGAAGTCTTGCTGCTCGGCAGGAGCTGAGAACGCTAGCCCCTCCTGGATGGTCGAGTGCAGGGGGGACTTGTTGGGGAGGAGCGCCGCGTTCTGGTACGAGAAGCCCATGGGCTGCGTGGAGGGCAGCGCGGTGAGGCTGCTCTGGCACGCGTCCATGGCGGACATGGCCGCCAGCCAGTCCGTCCCCGGGAAGTCCGGCAGCGCGGCCGCCGCCAGCGACGGCACCTCCGCGCGCCCCTCGCGCTCGCCCAGCACCACGTTGGCCAGCGTGCTGCTGTTGCCCGTGGGGAGAAGCCCCGGGGAAGCCGGCCGCTGCACACATGACAACACCGCAGGTCAGCGGGGCTCGCGCAGACTGCGCGGGCTGCGCTGCAGAGACCGGTGGGCAGCGCCCGGTGCCGCACAGCAGGCTGGCATGCTCAAATGTTTAAGCCCCGGCTTGCAGCTGCGATGCTTCCGGAATGTGCCAAGAGCTGCTGCTCATGTCTGGATCAGCGTGTGCATTGGCGCTGCTGCCTGCGTGCCCTGGTGGCCCACCCCAGCGCGCATCCGTGCTCACCGCGGGCTGCTTGGGCTCGGTGTCGCGGGTGGGCTTGTCGCTGTCCGCCGTGTGCGCGGCCTCTGCCGCGGCCTGCTGCAGGCGCGGCGGCGGCGCCTCCCCAAGGCGCTGGTACAGCTGCAGGACGAGCGCGCGCAGGGCCCCCACCTCGCGCTGCAGCTCCGCCTGGTGCGCCGCACGCCGCGCCAGCACCGCGTTCTCGCGCCGCAGCTGCTCCAACTGCGCACAAGGGCAAGCAGGAAACAACACGGTCAGCCGTTGCACCTGAAGTACACCCACGCCCTGGGGCATCTGCAAGCCTCGCCACTTGGCATGTGGGAGCGCCAGGTATGGCAGCGCAATCCTGCAGTCGCCCCCCTGGTGCTCCTGCTCACCTCCAGCTCCATTTCCCGCGCCTGCTGCTTCTTCTTGGCGCGGTACTTGCGCACCGCCTCCCTGTTCCCGCCGCTGCTGCTGCCCTTCTTGCCCTTCTTGCCTTCCTCCTCGCTGTCCTCCTGCACCGACTGCTCCCCCCCCATCTCAACGCCGCCCCGCTCCCGCCCGCCCTGCCTCCCATCCTTCCAGCTCACGCGCGCGCTGGACCGCACACGCTGCTGCACCGCCAGGCCGGCCTGTCGCAGCCGCGACTGCTCCTCCCCCGAGCGCCCCTCCTTCCCCAGGGCACTGCGGCCGCGCTTGTTACTACGTGGAGGCCCCCCTCGGGCGGCCAGGCCGGGGTCGCTGCGCACGCTGCGGTGCGTGATCAGGCTCTGGCTGTGCGTCTGCTCCGAGCGTCCACTGGACATGTCCAGGTCTGCGCTGTCGTCCTCATCAGACCCGGACGACGGCGCCGCGCGGGGGGGCACTACCAGGCGCTGCGGCACGGGCTGGCTCACCCCGCGCGCCTGGGGGGGGGGCATGCCAAAGGGGCTGGGGCGGCGCATCGGGATGGTCTGGACGGGGTGGCCATACCCCTGCAACGACACAGCGATCACACAGGTGGGCAGGCTGCACAGGGGGAGGGCTGCCGCGAGCAGGCAGGCAGGCGACAGAGAGGGGCTGCCAGCCAGGGGACTGCTGCAGCAGTGTGGGAAGAGGGGATGGGGTAAGGGAGGGCAGGAGCAGGGCGGAAAAAGGATGAATGGCAAACCAGTACACCAACGATAAGAATGCACAATGTACCATCTTTCAAGCTTGCTCTTCTGTAAGAACGGGGTTGGTCCCTTTTTTCCTCCTCATCCAAGCAAGAAAGCTTGCAACGCGGGTCCTGGAATGCAGGTCAGAATAACAGCTGCCACGCAGTCCTCGCTGGAAGCAAGGGGCCCTGCTGACCAATCCTGGCAACTGTGCTGCCATCCTCAGATTTACCAAAACATGCTTGCCCTGCGATCCCAGGCTCCTAAGCAAGACAAGAGGGTGTGCATCTGCACCACGCCCCCACTTATGGACCAGCTCCAGGCAGCCGTCACAGGGGAAGAGCGTGCTGCGGTGCCCCTCCATCCATGGCACTCTCCAAAGAGGACGCACAGTGCTGCACGAGGCGGGGGCGCCAGCGGCCGCTCACCTGCAGGTGGGAGGGTCCCCGGGCCCCGCCTGCCGTGTCCCCCCCGTCTGCAGCGTTGCCATGCATATTGCGCAGCAGGTCATCCAGGTAGTAGGAGGCGTCCATGATGCCGTGCTCGCTGCCTCCCTGCCAGACGGGGCTGCTGCCGGGGTCGCCGCCGGGGGGATGAGGAGCCATGCCCAGGGAGCGCAGCGCGTCCTCCATTCTAGGCACCAAACTTCCTGAGTGGGGAGGAGGGAGGGCAAACAGAATTTGCCGGAGGAGTGACCTGTGGTCACCTTCTTTGGTCCTGACACAGGCGAAACAATGGCTGATGCCTCTGCCAAATATTCGCCCCACTCGCGTTGCTTTGTACCTATCTTAGTGTCCTGAGTACCAAGTCGGGCAGGTACGTACCTTTTGGAACCGTACTCGAGGGGTTTGAGTACCTAAGGCTACGGTACACTAGACGGGTTTGAGCTTCGGAGGTAGGTAGGTACCTACCTAGACACGAAAACTCCGTGCCAGCCAGCTAGACCCTGGTACCTACGGTACGACGGTAGGGACTCAAGCGAGCCATGAGGTACGTACCAAGCCTTTTACGGTACCTAGATACCTACCGGAACCCGGACCTTGAAGGGTCAGCCTTGACCCCGGGCCCAAGTACCTAGGTACCGGTAGCAGGTACCTACCTAGATCATCTGGAGACGGTCTGGCAACAAGTTGAAGCCTGGCCTGGGCTGATTCGGAGAACGCCAATGGCGGAGTTTGGCGCGCTTTGTCGGGAGCTCGAAAGAAACCATGGCGATGTATAGTACGGTAGCCCCTGATACTTAGAGGTGCCGCAACACCAACCCTCTCCCCCCAGTCAGGCCCACACGCTGGGGCTGTGCTTGAGCGCAGTCCCTTTCGTGTCGGTTGTTATTTTCCGATATGGGAGATGCGCACGGCAGCTCCATGGTGGAAGCAGCGGGACTATGGCCAGTGGCGGCACATGATGGTCGTGAGCATGGAGGGCGCGCGGGTGCGGCCTTTTTGCCAGGGCAGGCCCGCAGCAGCCCGGCTTGGATTGTGGGACGCGAAGGCCGGGCTGCCTCCGGAGGGGCAGGCAGTAAAGCGGAGGGGCCGGAGAACGGGTCAGATGTGGGAGAGGAAGCGGCAGGCTGGGTGGACTACTCCGCGCAGAATGAGGAGGCAGTGGACGGAGCAGAGCCGCTGGAGAGCCAGGATGCGCACCAGCGGCCGGCAGCACGGCCAGGGGATGCCAGGGTCGCGCCCGGTGTGTCTTGTGTGGACCTGACTAGCCCCCCTGGTCACCATGCTGAGGCTCCGCTTCTCTCTGATGAAGAGCGCCCTGGCGCAGGACCGCACGGCGCGCACTCTCCTGCAGGGGGGAAGAGGCCACAGGCACAGGCAGACACGAGTGCACCGAACAAGCGTGCCGAAGCAACAGCAGCGCAGGAGTGGGGGTCGGGGAACGGCCCCACCCTTGCAACCAATGCGGCAGGGACGGGGATGGAGGACGGGCAGGCAGCGGAGGAAGCGAACGGGGCGGGCCGCTTGCCAGCGGAGGAGGAGCCAAAGGAATCGGGGCGCGGTGAGTCAGACGTAACGGGGGTTGGGGAAGGGGAGGGGGAGGGGGAGGTGCTGGCATCCGCGGCGGACGACGAGGCGGGCAGCGCGGAGCAGCTGGCGGAGCCGGTGGAGGGCCTGCGCAGGCTGGCAGCCAGCGCCACGCTTAAGGCAGCGCCGCGGGAAGGGGGCGGCCAAACGTCAGCCCTGTCGTCAAGTGACATCCTGCAGTGCGGGGGGGTGGCGCGCTGGGAGGCTCTGCTGGCCAATATTGCAGCGGGAGAGATCCAGCTGAACCCCGAGACTGGCAGCTACGAGCACCGCAAGGTGGTCAAAATAGAGGAGCAGAGCATGCCGGCAGTGACCTACGGGAACGGGCGGGCGCAGGAGAAGCCGCGCGAGAGGAGGCAGGCGCCGGAGAGGGCTCCCCCGGGCCGCCGGCGCAGGAGCGACCCTGAGGCAGGGGCCCTGGTGACGAGCAAGGAGGGCAGCACGGGCGCTCCGAAGCTGGCTGCGCTGGTGGACGACTTTGTGCAAAAATTGGAGGCACTTTTCGAGCAAGGTGAGGGGTCGGGGAGTGGCAGGCCGGGGGAGGAGATCCCCCTGCCAAAGTGGATCTCAACAATGTGTCCACTCTCTCGCTGTCACCCGTCCAGGAGCAGCCGTGCTGCTGACTGCAGCGTTTGCTGGCATCGTGTTCGTACAAGTGTTGCTCAGCTTGTTAGCACCTCTCTCATGCTGCTTGCCCGCTTCTTCTGCCTTGGCCGTCACTGTGAGCAGTTCTGACGTACAGCGGTGCGCGCAGATCTGACGGCGGAGATGCAGCGGCGCGCGTCGCGGTGCACCCCAAGCACCCTAGGCGCCAAGGCAAGTGTGCCGCTGCGCAGCAACCGACGAGCGGCCCGCTACAGGGAGCCTCCCGAGGGTTCAGCATGCCACTTGCGCCTCCTCCTCTGCCTCCTGCATCTGTGTGGCCCTCTGTCCTGCTCCCTTGTAGCCCCCTCTTGCGCGCTGCTCTTGGGTGCCTCCTGCCTGACCTGCGCTGTGGTGCGGTGCCAGGTGTCGCGCCTGGCGGGCCACCCCAACGCCGGCCGCGGCCCCGCGTCGGGCTACATGGACGAGAGCGCCAAGAACAGCGCGGCGCTGCGCGAGGCGGCGGAGCCCATCATCAAGGCACTCCTCTTCCGAGGCCACTACGGTGAGCGCGCACCCGGGAGCGGGGTGGCAACCTAGTGCTGCTCTTTGGGCCTGGATACGCCATGCCGCCTGCGCGCCTGGGCGGACACGGACCATCGGTGGCTGCCTGTGCGCCCGCGCTGGTGTGGTGCCTGATGCCGGTGCGCTGCTGTGCAGGGAGCACCACGCTGGCGGCCAGCATGGCGGGCCCCTTGTTCTACCCCGCCAATGCGGCTGGGCCCGAGTTGCTGGCTGCGCTGCGCGAGGCGTGCCAAGGAGCTGCGCCCGTGGCAGGGCGCGCGGGGCCCATGGCGCGCCTGCTGCTGGACCTGCAGGACGGCGCGCGCCCCGCTCTGTCTGGCGACGGCAGCCCCGAGGAGCAGGACGCCCGCGTGCAGGTAAGCTTGGCCCGCAGTGCAGCTAGGATGGCGGGGCAACCCCCGCAAGTGTGCGGGCAAGCCACACTGCGGGTACTGGGGGATGGAAGGGCAGGGCACTTTCGCAGTGGCTGAGCGAGCGAGTGTGGTGCTGCGTGCGTGCGCAGGCGTGGGGTGCGGCGGTGCGCGGGTGCTGCGGCGCGGCGGTGGAGGTGCTGGAGGCGGTGGACTTCTTCAAGCTGTGCTGCGCCGAGGCGGCCGCCACAGCGCAGGAGGAGGCCGCAGGGGTCATGCTCACTGCCAAGGTCCGCGGCGGAGCCCGCACTCGTTCCCAGAGCTCTTGCTGGGGGGAACACATTGATGAGCGCTTGTGTGTTTGGCTGGCTTGCTCTGCTTGCACAGGCTGGCCCTGGCCCCCATGTGTCCACCCTGCTCGCCGCCCTGAATGAATTGGCTTTGCATGGGTGTGTGCAGCGGAGCAAGCGCGCCATCCTCTCGAGCCGGCAGGCGGCTGGCAGCAAGTCCAAGTGGGAGCACCTGGAGGACAGCGTTGCCCCGCTCGCGCAGATCGTCGCACAGCGAGTAAGGGAACCCTTGCAACCCCCCTGCCTGCTGGCCGGCTCAGCGCTGGTTGTGCATGCCACCGTGCGCCATGTTGCTCATTGGCCTGCTTGAGTGAGCCTCGGAGCGTGGGTTTGGTGCCCCCGAGTCTGCTCGAGTGGGCGTCCCGGCAGGGTGGTGCTGGTGTGACGTTGTTGGTGTTTTCTGTGCAGTATGTGGCGGCAGCCCTGCACGGCGGGGAGGGCTTCTCCGGCCTGCATGCCCGCCTGCAGGCGCTGCGCGGGGACTTGCTGCGCGCAGGCGCCAACCTGGAGCAGTGGCGCAACCCACCACCGCCGCCGCCGCTGCCTCCCGACCACGCCGCGGCGGACCCTGCCCGCCTCATCCAGGTACGGACTGGCCCTGCCGCCGAGCCTGCACTCTTGCCGCGCGTCGTGGCCTCTCCTCTCCCGTGGGCAGCGCTGTGTGGCACGTCCCCGTGCGTGGCCTGGCTTGCTGGATTGCTGAGCTGCGCTGCTGCGGTGCGTGCAGGCCATCGCGGGGGTGGCGGGCGCTGCGGGCGCTGCTCCGAGCCTGGCGGTGGCGGACGGCGTGGTGGGCGCGGTGGTGCGCGAGTACGCCTGGGCGGACCCGGGCAAGTGGGGTCTCCTCTGGCAGCAGCAGGGCGCCGCCTGCAATGGGCCGCAGGTGCCGGAGCCTGTGGTTCTTCCGCTGGGGGGGAGTGCTCCGCCGGAGACAGCGCGGCGGCGGCGGCGGGGCGG